CTCAGCAGATTTCCTTCGTGGTTTTCTTTCTTTCTTTCTTTCTTTTCTTTTCTTTTCTTTTCTTTTCTTTCTTTCTTCCTTTCTTTTCTTTCTTTCTTCCTTCCTTCCTTTCTTTCTTTCTTTCTTTCCTTTCTTTCCTTTCTTTCTTCCTTTCTTTCCTTTCTTTCCTTTCTTTCCTTTCTTTCTTTCTTTTTTGCCAGGGGACCACATGCCCTTAAACCCTCAAACCAGTCATTAGCAAAAGGAGTAGAATTACTATAATTGGTTTAGACTAATCCTGATTTACCTCTAAAATGGGCTTAAGGTCACCTTTCCTGAGCAAAAAATGTCAAAGTTGTATTAGCAAGAAATCATGAAGTAGACATTGTGTAAGCCATAGGGTCTGCCTCAGAGCTCTTTCAATTTCCACAGAAGTGGTAGAAGTAGCTGCTGATAAAATTTGCCGAGCACATAATTATGTACCATAGCTATGATTGTAACCATCTTCCCTTCCTATGTGGAGAGAAGTTCTCTCCCTTCTTCTCACTAATGAGTTGGCTTGGTGGGATCTTTAAAATTCCTATTCTTTCAATCTAAATCTAGAAAAACATAATACTTGTAAAGTTTTGGTGTAATCTGTTCTGTTACAACCTTGTTTCTGTAGCACAGATTAGCCTATAACTAATTGTGTTATTTTGTGCCACTAAGTAAGGGAAATTGTATTATACGTGATGACCATTCACCTTTGTCTGACATTCTTTTTGCTCAGTTTAACCAAATACTGTCATAGAAGTCCTTATTGTGTGTTTATCCCTTCCTTTGAGCCTATTTCAGCTTTTTTTTTTAAAGATAAAGGACTATATTTACTCTAGTATTTGTTTGGAATTTGCCATATATTTTTAAAATCGTGCAAGTATTTTTTTTTTAAATTGTTATTGTTTTTGTTGGGCATCTGTATTTGAGTTGTCTGCCTACAACCCAATTTTTCCCATATGCCTGTTATTTTTAGTGTTCAATTTTGTGGAAAGAGATTTTTCTGGAATGTATGTGTCATATTAGAGGAGAAACTCCTTTATTTAAAAAATCTATTCTAAGAGTTTTAACATATAGACTATATCGTAGAACAGGGAATAAATAATGAAGATTGCATTGATTGGAGATAAGATTGAGTAATGGAAGCAAGAGTATTTTCTCCTTAGCAAAGAATAAGTATCAATATATACTCATTATAGAGAATGGCTTCAATGTTCTTTTTTCTCCATAATGCCCAGGTGTCTGTTATTTGTGATCTGCTCTCACTTAAAAGATTCAAAAGAGTGCACTTTTCTAAGTCCAACCTCCTTCCTTAGTGCACTTTTTACATAATCTAATACTATGCATGTCATTCTTAATGAACCTGTAAAGTAAGATCTGAGGGAAAACTTTCCAACTAGTTAAAATCAGTTTGACGGTTAAGAACTAGAAAAGAATTTGTACTCATTTTTTATTTGTGATCCAAGACTTTTTCTTGAGACTTAAATAGGGATAATACAGGGGATAAATTCAAACAATCTTGGAGGAATTTTCAAATCAGTGCCCAGAATGAGATGTCAGGTGGTAGGGTGGCAGGAGAACCAGCATACTGTATATAGTGTCATGAATTCTTGAGGCTTGTTCTGTGTCTTTTTTAACTTTTGCCCAGTTCAAGTTACAATGGAAAATCTAGGAGCTATTAGGCCAGTTCATGTATATTTGAGAGAATCTATTTGAATTCCTTTTAGAACCATGCAACCCCTTCCATATAACCTGTCAATTTCCCAAATACTATTAAAATCTTGATCTCATTTCTGTGTTTTCCTAGTTGGTAGTGTGCATGACCACTTAGTTCTCATATATTTTTACTTATAGAAATGATTATTATTAGTTATAGATCTCTGATTAGAGTTGTTAGCTTATAGCACTATATTAAAATCACAACTGAAAAACAGAATAAATCAGAAAATCAGAGGAAAAGGAAAACAATGTAAAATAGGGATAGAATCAGTACCTTGAATATCTATTTCAAAGTTCTTCCACTTATTAAAAGTGGATTGCAAACTTTACCCTGAGCTTCCTAGTGAAATGACCCAAGTAAAGAGGCAAACATCAGTTCCAAGTTTTATAATGTCTTGTGGCAAGATAAAAAGAGATATACCCACAATAGACCTGTTCACTATTTGAAGCTTTGATATTCCTCCTATGTGGATCCCTGCACTGGTGAATTGAATTGAACTATATAAAGCTAAGAATACTCTTTTTAATCCAAGTTAGAGGAAAAATTAAAACCTAGAACCATTGTGGGTCAAACAGTCTTTAAAAGTTGTAAGCATAGAAAGAGTATTTCACATTTTCTCCCTAATTCTTACTATAAACATTTGAAGGGTATAGGAGTGGTCGAAGAAAAGAGCTTTCCAGTAGAAAAGGCAGAGTGTTTGATTAACTATTATCCTTGTTTCAGAAATAAATAAATAAGTCATAGGAATAGAAGAGTCAATTTATAAAGATAAAATCTTCAATCCTTAAAAATTTCATAAAAGGATGGGCTGGGGTTGTGGCTCAGTGGTAGAGTGCTCGCCTAGCACATGCGAGACACTGGGTTTGATATTCAGTGCCACATAAAAATAAATAAATAAATAAAATAAAGATGTTGTGTCCAACCAGAACTAAAATGTGTGTGTGTATATATTTTATATATATATATACACATATAATATATACACACACATATATAAATAAAAAAAGTTTTCATAAAAGGGTATCCAACTACAAAATTGCCCTGCCACCTTAATAGCAATATAACCAGGCTATCCATATGGTAGACTTTAAGACTGATTATCTGCATCAGGATGTATTGGACTAGACAATTTGTTTCTTACTTCACCATGAGTCACACTAGGAAGTTTTCAAAAGCAGCTAGACAACTTTCTTTGATATGCACATGATGATCTCCATGGCAGAACTGTAGGTAAAGAAAAGATCTGTAGCAGGAACAAACTAATGTTCTTTTCACCTTGAAGCTACAGAGATAATGAGAAACCAGGAGCACTTATTAAAGACATTTAGGAGAACTGGGTAAAGTTTGGTCTAACCAGTAAATCAAGAACTAAAACTGAGTTTTTGATATTGTGAGTTAATCTAAAAGACCTGGCCTTCTTGGTCTTAGAGGGCTGAATTTTATGGAAGCCATAATGCTAAGGGTTCATGGATTCAGAAAACAGTTCTCTTTGGACATAGAGATAAATTAGGCCCTGATAGGTTTTATACATGGGCAAAGGTAAAAACTAAGATGATTTTCTGGTAGGGATATAATGAGAAGTAAATATCTGGGTTTAGTGTTGAAGCTTTTGAAAAATGTTTGTTCATGAACTGCTCAAAAATAGGCTTTTGATTACTATCTGAATGGAATCTCCTTTTATACTGGCATATAAGAATATTGACAAAAATCAGACATTTTGTTTTCCTGAACTATTTTTTTATCCCAATAGCTTAAAACTACCATGCAGAATGTCCTAAAAAAGGTAAAAATTGTTAAATATATTATAACTATTTTAAGTAGTAGAATTTAAAGGTGAATTATGTAAATACCTTACTTTTATTCTTTGTAAAGAATAAAAATATGGCTGTATTAAGGTTAAGGACCAAATTTTATATCAAAGCTTCCTAAAGGATATTAAGAACTATGAAGTAAACTCTCCTACATTCCTAAATTCTTAAAAAGAATTTCCTGGTGCTGTTGTTTTCCAAAACCAAGGGGGCAGGTGAAACAAAGATTGATGAGGCTGGAATAGAATTTCTGATGAAATAACTAAGTTCCACTTTGGGTAGAAAGTCACATTATTCCTTTATATTCAAATATCTATTTTGCCTCTTTTACTTTATGCATCAAGCCTATAAAAAATGTTTGGAGTATAAGGATTTTCCAGATCATGTGCAATATGTTCTAAAATTTAAGTCTAAATTGTATAGTACTTTGGTGTGTTCTCAGTCATCTTTGCTAGAGGGGCATGCTATTCAGTTTTTTTTTTCCCCTTAGTCCATTTGCGTACATCAGAGTGTTAGTGCCTTGGTTGTGTAGATAGGAAAATTATAGTATATATTTGGAGATAGAATTGTGGTGAAAGAGCATGGACTTGGAAATTAAATTGACTCAAGTTTGAATTCTGCCTGTGACACTTATTGCTACTTAATCTTGGTAAGTCACCTAACCTTACCAAACTTCTGTGAATTTCTAAATAAATAGGATCTATATCAAACTTGCATGGTTGTTTTATAATTAGAAGAAAAGTTAAAATTATATATGTAAAATAGCTGTGGCTATTGCTAGCACTTAATCGTACTCAATTGAGTGTTTCTGTTATTATAGATATTTATGCCTTATGGGTTCTAATGTACTTTTATAAATACAAATGTGTTGCTTTTCTGGAAAGGAAGAAGAAAATTAAATGTTGGGAGTGTTGGAGGCAGATCTAATGTAATAAGTTAAAGCAAAAGTATATTTGATATGAAAGCAGAAAGGAAAAAGCAACAGAAAGTGGGGAAAAGAAAGTTGAAATTTTACGCATTTCACAGTTTTCCCCGAGGCTGTAGAAGTCATTGTTTCTTCCCAGCTTGCCCATTTCCTTTAGGAACTGGAGAGAAAAAGGGAAAAGGAAAGGGGAAGGCATTTTCATTTTCATCCCTTTTCATACTGTTTACTCAGACATTATATAGTATTTTCAAAATTTTCCACATTTGTGGGACATCTTAAGATATATTTTTCCCTCAAGATCAGGGCATTTGGGGGCATATTTTACAAATAAAAGTAAGAAGGTACAAAGGAATTTTGGACTTGTATAGGTCACCCTATTCTTTGGAATTAAACTTTGATTAGAACCCCAGCAATAGAAATATCACTGGAAAGTTTGTCAGCAGAAACTCAGACTTCTTTATGTAGCAACTTTATGCCTCAATGAGTTACTATTATTTTAAAAAATTTATTTATCTAAAATAAAATGTATTGGGCTGGCAGTGTAGCTCAGTGGTAAAGTGCTTGCCTGGCATGCAAGAGGTCTTAGGTTCAATCCCAAGCACTGCAAATAAAAATAAATAAGTAAATAAATAAATAAATACAATGTTAAATTTAGTGAAAAGGAGGTGTTCCTAAACTATCAGAATAATTGAAAGCACAAGATAATTTGTTTATAGAATGTGCTAATTTACATAGATCTCTGAAAAACAATGGTCATAAAGATGTTAATATTAATTTTAAAAATTTCTTTGCATTAAGAAGACCAAAAGTCGCTGACATTTGCAGCTTTGCTCTTTGAATTTATGGGTGGGGGGGCCTTCCTGGTTGGTTTTTAGGAGAGAATGCTTGGTTAGCATTTGCTCTAGGAGACTGAAAACCAGTCAGGCTTTAAATAAAACCTTTGCTGCTTATGCCTGCTGTTGTATGTTATGCTTTCTGGACAGTGTCAGCAATATTATCGTTAAGTAATTACAAAGCATTACTCCTTAAGCTTCATTATTCCTAAACTAAACAAATATGGATTTACCTCATTTTTCTTTCAGAAAATACTCTTTCCTTTGATTACTCTTATTCTTTTGAACCAGCATATAATACTCCTACTGAGCCTATTTTAATCAAACAGATTCAGAGCATTCATGATGGGAACATTGACATTAGAACAGAATTCTAGAGGATGTATTCAAGGATAAAAATGACATGGGATCAAGTCCCTGAGTCCACTGTAATTCTCTCAAGCCATTCTATTCTCTCTACTTTTTCTGCAAACAGCCTGAACACACTTCAACTCAGGGCCTTTGCATTGAGTTTCCTGAAACACTTTTCACAGATGTGTACATAAGTCATTTCCTCGTTTTTTAAAAACTCTACTCAAATGCCGCCTTAGAAAAAAATTCTCTAACCTTATTATATAAAACAACTTCCCTCCCACCTCACTATCAATCTCCTTACCCTGCTTTTTGTTTGTTTTCTTATCTCCAACTAGAGTAAGCTCCATGAAAGCAGAGACAGAGCATATTTAGTTTTCTGCTGTAACCCCAGAGCCTAGATTATATCTGATACATATTAAATGATCTATAAATACTTTCTAGATGAAAGAAAGATACTTAAGGCCATTTCTTGGTGCCTTATTTCAAGAAAACTAATGCTAAATCATGATGTGTTCATAGGAATGCCATCAAAGCCTAGATACCTTTCAGTTAAGCAGTTAGAGCTATTCGGTGTGAATCCAGAACAAAGGAAAACCACTTGGTTATGGGAAGGTAGGTTTGGAATGGAAGTAGGGAAGAATCTGCTAATTAATGCAGTTTTGTCTTTGATCTATCCTTATATAGATGTTTATATAGATTGTATGGCCATGTAAGGATGATTGTAGAGGTTATCTAAGCATCTTATGCAAATTAGATTATATCACCTCTAATACTACTTCCTGAAAGGTATGATTCTGTATTGGCTCAAAAATTAATAATTGCTTTTGATTTTTCTGTGAAATGCTACAAGATAAATGTATCTATTATGGAACATTCTAAATCAGGGTTTGGCAAATGGTACCACCTAGGACAAATCCGATCTGTCATCTCTATAAATATTTGTATTGGAACACAGACATGACCATTTGTTTAAATGTGGAAACTTCTGCTATTATTGTGGTATTTAGAATGTCCAGAGCATGTTCCCATTCCGATGAAGGAGGTGTCCTCACACCCTGAATTATTACTAAGAAATCTTTCTGTATCTCAGTTTACTTCATTATGAAATTAATTATAACTACCTCATAAGAGTGTGTTGAAAGGAATCAAATAGATAATGCATGTAAAGATCTCTGATCAGTGTGCCACAAATTAGTGCTTAGCAAATACTAGTAGCTATTGTTATTTTAATATTTTTATTATACTGACCCTGGGAGTGACTATCAGAGGAAGAATAGAACAGAAATTCTATGAAGTATTGTAGAAGTGCTTTAATTAAATAATAATACCCTTCATTTGACTCTTTATTTCTTTTCAAAGAAATCACTAGCAGATAGTGAAAAACAGCATTTTTTTTGTTTGCTTTTAGCACATGGCCCTTATGATGCCTTAATTTTTAATTCAGGGATTTATTATGCATTAGTATTTATATATGAAATATCATTTATTCTTAGGCTTCTATGAAGTCCCCCCTTTCATCTAGAATACGTTTTTCAACTATTCTTTCTTTCTTTTCTTTCTTTCTTTTTTTTTTTTTTTTTTGGTATTGGGTATTGAACTAGGGGTACTTTGAGAAAGGTTCTCATTAAGTTACTTAGGACTTCGTTAAGTTGTTAAGGCTGGTCTTGAACTTGCAATCCTCCTGTCAGCAACCAGAGCCATTGGGATTACAGACATGGGTCACCACACCTGGTCCCTACTCTCCCCAAATCCTTTATGTTTCCTAACTGGCTCAATACCTGGTATGCTTTGAAACATACCCAAGATTTTCTTTTTCAACCAGTGTGTCCCTAACTAACCATATGACACATTGATCTTTCACCAATAAACAGCACCTGTAGATAACCTGTAGAATTTGTTCTATGCTATGAATATTGCCTAAAATAATTCTGTAGCTTTACCCTTATGGCTTGATTTTCTAGCTACATTGAAAACTGGGCTTGGATGAACTTTTGGGTGGTTGGTGCTTTATAAATTTTTAAAGATTACATGAAAACTTGTACCTATATTTCAAATTACCTGTATTTTTTAAAATTGATATTCTTTAAAAGTAGACTTGCTGCATGGCAAAGCCACTGACAATTTTTATTCCTTAAAAATAGTTAGAAAAGAAAAGCACTCCTGTAATCTCAGTATTCCAAAAATCTAAAGATTAGCAGTCCATGAAATAAAAGATCCTGCAAACATGTCCTTCCAGCATGGTACACTATATAGTTTATGATAGTTATTTTTTATTTTTATTAAAGGCAATCAAGAAGAGTAATTTAACAAAAAGAATCATTAGGTTTGGCATTGAGAGTATTATATTTTAATGTGCTAAAATATTTTAAAGTTCAGGGCACTTCACAGAGCATAGGTCTGCTACCTCAACTAAAAGGACTTTCAGTTTTAGTTTTTTCATCTAGTTTTTGTGTACATTTATAAGGAGATACATGATGGATTGATTACAAAATAGACTATGACATGTGTCCCAGGGTAAATTTATATTGAAACTCCTTAACACTTAACTGTTTAAATGACTTCAGTTATATCTTCTATAGCTAAGATTACAATTTAGATACTTGAATCTGAATACTGATTATCAAACAGTAAATCAAATGCCAAAATTAAAGCCAGAATAAGGTAGTGAGCTAATATGATGGGATTCAGGTAATTTTAATTTTAGAGACGTTGTCCCTTGGTTTTGGTATTTTACAACAATGGTACCATTTATTATTTTATTTTATTTTAGCCATGCCCTTTGGGTTCCCGAGATTTTCGAGAGAAACAGTGTGCAGACTTTGACAATATGCCTTTCCGAGGAAAGTATTATAACTGGAAACCCTATACTGGAGGTAATGTATAACCTGGCAGAGCATTCATGCTTGAGAACTTTCAAATATAAAAGATTGTTTAACACATACAAACATATCACACAATCATGCAAGTACTAGTTAAATCTACAAATTGAGGCAGAAAGTGCTTGTCTTGTTACAAGGTTTTAGTTTCCCTATGATAAAATTTATATTGCTACAAAGTATTGGAAATTATTTTTAAAACCTAGTTCTAAATAACAATTAGAAAAGATATGTATACATCAAAACCATATAATACTTTTTCTGCTTGAGACTTCCTTGGAATAGAGGTGAATCACATAATAATCATTGGATGTTTGTAATCACCACCCAGAGAACAAATTATACCAATAAAAATCAACTTAGAAAAAGGAAATTAGTTCTTTTTTAGTAAAAGGCCAATCTTTCCATAAGAGATTATTCTTTTTGAGGAATTAAGATATATTTTGCTTCTTAATTTGTGTGTTTCAAGTACTAATTATTCAGTAAGCAGAAGATTTTCTTTGCTCCCAAAATACAAATTAGATTTTGTTGAAATTTTCTTTTAGAAAAATTGAATGTACTTTAAAAAAAGCTTTTACTGTTTGTTTTTCTAATATCTTACTTTAAAAATGATCTGGCTTAGAATAATATCTGATTTTACGGTAACAACTGTATATCTACCACATGTGTTCTATCACTAACAATTTTACTATACTTTATAAATGTCTGTTGATTTCTTTATCCACTTATTAATCCATCGTGTTTTTTATATATTTTAAAGTCAACCAAAGTAATTAATATACTTTGTTTTAAATACTTCAGCATGTATACCATTAACCATAGAGCAATTATTTGTTTACTTTTTTCTTTTAAAGTAAGGGGATATAGGGCTGGAATTTTGGCTTAGTGGTAGAGCGCTTGCTTAGCATGGGCGGGACCCGGGTTCGATTCTCAGCACCACATAAAAATAAAGGCGTTGTGTTGTGTCCATCTACAAAAAAGATTCATTTTCTCTCTCTCTCTCTCTCTCTC